CGGTTTTTACTAACTGTTGATTGGAGGAAGTATCTGTAATATTGATACTTTGTTTTGTAATAATGTTCTTAATTCAGTAGTAGTAATTAGTTTTTATGTCATTTTTAAAAGATAATTTGCTAGTACATAGATTTGTACGTATTACAATACACACGATTTTAATGACATCTGTGTTGGATGCATCGTATTGAACACAGTTCGAAAAAATTTGAAATGAAACAGTCACAAATAAGCGGAAGTCAAGAAACAAATTGACCGGAAATAGATGTTCAAGCTTGCCGGAAGTCATGTGATTGCATCGAACGGCAATTGGTTGCCGTTGATCTCCGCCATGGTCGTTGCCGCCGTGGCCATTCAGATTGATCACGTGGTGTCCAGTTATCTAAGCGCGGGAAATTTTAACAATAAAAGTAGGTAATGATGATGATGACAACGATGTGGATGATGATTATGATAATGATGACGATGTGGATGACGACTATGATGATGACGATGACGATGACAAAATAAAAATATTCACAGACTGTGTGTTCGACTTTCAAACGCGCCCCAATTCGAAATGGGGTTCTTTTCGCTCGCCAAATCACCCCAACCACTATCCCAATCCGATCACGTGCGTCTACTACTTCCGGTCCTATCCATGGGAGCGTGTGGTCATTGAATTTGTGGAATTTGACCTAGATTTCAGTCATGGAGACGCGTTCAATCCCGATAAGTAGGTCATCTGATTGACTTACGGATGAATAAATGGATTGACGGATAAAAGGATAGATGGATTGATGGATGGATAGATAGATGAATGGATGGATAGATGGATGGCAGTTGAATTGATGAATGGTCGGTCGAACAATCTTCTGATGAAATTGAGTTAGTGATGATTCGTCACGTTGATTTACAAACGTAAAAATTTCACTTGAATAAACATTGGTAGAAAAAAGATAAAAATTTTTTTGAATGAATAAACAGAATGATAGCGAGTGAATGAATAAAGGAATTGATTGACTGACAGACGAATGAAGGAATGAACTAATTGATGGGAGGATAGTTCAAACTGGGAACGAAGATTGATTGATTGATTGATAATGTTGCAAAAACATTTTTAGGTGCGATTTTGCAGACACTTTGCTAATTGAGACCCAACAACAAACAATGCAACAAAACTCCAAACAACAACAATACAACCGAATTGGCATATACTGTGGCAAGAAACTACCTCCGCGAACAATGTCTTCGGGGTCTAATATGCGTTTGACCTTCACCTCTGGCACCTTTAGGTTCATGAACTCTAGAGGGTTCTACGCCAAATATGAATTTGTCAACGGTCAGTTTGGGTTAAGAATGGCTAGGTGGTGTTGGGTTCATGTGCCATGGTCGTAATAATATTATAACATAAATAATAAAATACTTCGAATAATAATAATAATAATAATAATAATAATTGTTATTATTATTATTATTATTGTTTTTCAGATTTTAAAGTGAATTCGCTGCCAATGGTTCAAGACCGAAACAATGGTTAGATGGTCAATTACCGTCATCATCACCATAATTATTATTACCCTTGCCATCATCATCATCATAATCGTCATCATCATCATCATCCTCATCATTATATAAACCAACACCAACACCACCACCATCATCATCATCATCATTACCACCATCATCATTCTCTTCCTCCTCCTCCTCATCCTCCTCCTCATCATCATCATCGATTTCACCCACCGAATAGAATGCAAATTCTACTACTCAAGCTTCCAAGCCGAAGCATCAACAAACATCGCCACAATCAGTCACAGCAACAACAACCAGCTAAGCAGCTACCACAGCTACTACCAGCAGTTGCAGCAGCAGCAGTCACAGCTTAGCAGCCGCAACAAGGGATACTTCACTAGTCCCAATTACCCTGGATTGTATCCTAAAAACACTACGTGTTTTTATTACTTCAGGACGGATCCGTTGAAGGCCGTCGTTTTCAACTTCAAACATTTTGAAGTCGATGGTGTGCCACCGAAGTTGGTGCTGCTGATGATGATAGTGGTGGTAGTGGTGGTGGTGATAATGATGATGAAGATAGATTGTTGTCATCATGTTATGATGTATGTGGTTATGACTAAAAATGATTGATCGCGAATGATGAAGATGATGAAGAAGATGATGAAGAAGAGAGGAAATAATTTGTAGATATGTGGTGAGGATGACGACGATGATAATGTAATGATGATATTCATAATGATGATGACGACGACGACGATGATGATAGAGATATAGACGTGACAATGTTGCTGATGTTGATGCACTATACTAATTGAGGCAATTTTCTTGTCATTCATTTTTTCCATCCAATCCATCCATCAATCAACCAATCAGACAATCTTTTTCCTTTTCTCTTTTCTGAATTGATTTTTTTTGTTTTTTGTTTGTGAATGTTTTAAAATTTCCTAGGTCGTATATTTTATTATTCATTCGTTCGTTTGTTCGTTCGTTCGTTCATTCATTCACTCTTTCATTCATTCGTTCGTTCGTTCGTTCATTCGTTCGTTCATTCATTCATTCATTCATTTATTCATTTATTCATTCATTCTTTCATTCATTCATTCATTCATTCATTCATTCATTCATTCATTCATTCATTCATTCATTCATTCATTCATTCGTTCATTCGTTCATTCGTTCATTCATTCATTCATTCATTCATTCATTCATTCATTCATTCATTCATTCATTCATTCATTCATTCATTCATTCATTCATTCATTCATTCATTCATTCATTCATTCATTCATTCATTCATTCATTCATTCATTCATTCATTCATTCATTCATTCATTCATTCATTCATTCATTCATTCATTCATTCATTCATTCGTTCGTTTGTTCATTCATTTACTCGATCTCCCAATCTTGAAGGTAATGAGAAATCAAATTAAAACGAGTGTGACTCTCGAATGAATTGAATACATTGTAGTCGTCGTCGTTGTTGTTGTTGCTGGCGATGACGTTGATGGTGACGTCATAGTGTTGTTGTTGCTGTTGTTGTTGACGTAAGAGGGATGTTGATGATGCTCCTTCTGTTGATGTTAATGTTGTTGTTGATTGATGTTAATGTTGTTGTTGCTGTTGTTTTTGTTGTTTTTGTTGTAGGTATGGTAATGTTGTTGTGGTTTGATTATAAGTAATTAGTTTATTCATTCAAGTGTGTGTTCATTCATTCAGCTCTTCGTTCGTTCGTTTATTCTTTCTTTCATTCATTTATTCATTCATCTAAATTCTTCCTTGCTTATTCACGAAGATAAATCTCTGACGTTTGAGAAAAATGTTTCAGCATGCAACAAAAAAAACAAACAAGCATGAATGAATGAATGAATGATTGAATGAGTGAATGAATGAATGAACGAAAAAATGAATAAATAAAAGAATAATGAATGAACGCTTGAATGAATGGACCGTTCGAATGAATGAACAAAAACAAACTGGTATCAAAACCTATATACGAAAATTGGTAAAAATGCTTCACGATTGAAATTAATGTTACACCATGAATAAAGGAAAGAATTAATGAATCGATGAATTAATGAATGAGATAGAGAACTGACGCGTGAATGAATGAACGAACGAACGAACGAACGAACGAACGAACGAACGAACGAATAAATGAATGAATGAATAAACATATATCTAGACGAACGACAGAGCAGTAAACAAAGTAAAAGAATGAAATGGGAACTGATAAATAAGCAACAGTAGCGTATGGATACAGAAACGTTAACGGCGTACTAAACACAAATGTGTCGCCTTAGATAACCCAGCGTCATTATCAAAACGTCTATCTCTACTACCACCACCACCACTACCACTACTACTGCTACTGCTGCTACTATTACTATTACTATTACTGCTGCTGCTGCTACTACTACTACTACCACTTCTACTACTACTACTACTACTAGTTACTACTACTATACTAAGCACGCTGATAATTTTACTTACATTTCAAAAAATATTATCACATTCACAAGCCACTCTTACAACTACTGCTACAATTTTTACTACTACTTCTTTTTACTACTATTACCACTACTACTACTACTGCTACTACCGCTACTACTGTGCAACTAGTACTGCTACTACTACTACCTCTACAACAACAACAACTACTACTACTACCACCACTACTACTACTGCTGCTGCTGCTGCTACCACGAGCGCGCATCTATTTTAGCAAGCAGTGCATTCCTGCCGGGAATTCGTCGCGCTCTGATTTATAATTGTGTCGGCTTACTGCACCGACTCTATAGTGTAGTAATCGTATTAGTATTTCTGGAAGTAGTAGTAGTTTGAGTAGTTGTAGTTGCTGTAGTTGCTGCTGCTTTGTAGCGAAAGTAGCTGCAGTGGCAGTAGTATTAGTTATAATAATAAATAATTGTTTTTTTTTGTGTAGTATTAATGCAATTAGTATCGACTGTAGTAACAGTACTTGTTACTTTTGTGTAGTTGTAGCAGATGTAGTATAAGAATTGGTAAAAGTAGCAGTTGTTGTAGTTGTAGTAGCAATAGTAATAGTAGTAGTAGTAGAGTAGAGTAGTAATAGTAGTAGTAGTAGTAGTAGTAGTAGTAGTAGTAGTAGTAGTAGTAGTAAGTAGTAGTAGTAGTAGTAGTGGTGGTGGTGGTAGAATTTTTTTTAATTTATATTCTTTGTTTTTTATTTTCGTACTGATTGTATTTTATTATCTTTAATGTTGTGAAATTTTTTCACCAATCACTTCAATGTTTATTTGCTCTGACGTGTCCAAATTGTTTGCTGATGTGTGCTTGTCTGTCTGTACGTGTGCGTATGTGTGTGTTTACGTGGGCATGTATTTGTGTGTGTGTGTGTGTTTATTTAGCATTTGATGGAATATACACAAAATGAAGCATATGTAATCAAGATAACAATGCATACGTACCGATGTAGATTAATGAAAATTATTTTGTATTCCTATTGTAGACTTGATCAGCAAAAGAGTTCGTACTAAAACGCACTGCTAAAAATTTGATGAAAGCATCGTCAGAAAATTTTCAAATGTTTGCATATACATGATGGGATAGTCTAGCAAGTGCTCTAACTATTGTTGGTTCAATAAATAATGAACACGCAACGAATGTTCTCCATGCTGAGCCTTGAATCTACCTGCTTTGCAATGAGTGTGTCGTGTGTTATTGCATGTGTGTATCTCTGTGTGTGTGTCTGTGTGTGTGTGTGCGTGTGTTAGTGTGTGTGTGTGTGGGTGTCTGTGGAGTATGTTTGTGTGGGATGAAGTCATCACAACAATGCATACTGACGATTTTGTAAGTAGCTTGTGTAGAATGTGTGCTGTTCATATTACAACTGCCTTTCAGAATGTATATAAAATTCCTTTTACGATTAAGCAACAATTATATAACAAAGTTGCCCTATATGCAGTTTGTTAGTAGTGCTCTACAATAAAACAACGAATACGTTTTAATAAACATCATCTCCTGGTAAAGAAAACTAAAAAAGTCATATTTCGAACGAATAATCAATCAGATGAAGAACAGAGTTCATTAGATTTGAATCCAGAACCTGTGAGTCTGGGTCATGGAAAAAATTGACAACCTTGCAAAACATTACTGCTGCTCTGGCATCGCTGCTCGTTAAAAATTGTCAAAAATTTAATTGGATGTAGTAGGAGACACTTTCAGTGTTCCTACCGACCAACATCGTCCGAGATGATCCCTCTTTCGCTTCGCAGTGCCCTTATGACCTGATAATTCAACGCATCCGATTGTATGGCTTACTGGTTTTGTAAAATACAAATCAAAATAAAATCATAAAAATTGTTATAACTAGAATCATCACGTGTGTGTTTGAGCGTGTGTGTGCGCCTGCGTGTATGTCTTATGTGTGTGTGTGTGTTTGATAGAGTTCGAAGTATCAGTTAGAAAGCTTAAAATATTCACGAATAAGTTCTTCAATGAAACAGAGCATGCAGGCAATTATTTAAATTCTCTGAAAAGTTGGAGGCACTCTTGTAGTGAGAATTCTTCAAAAATCAACCACATTATACTGCTTTTAATATTCGCATGTTTGTAAATTCACTTTTTGAAGAAAACTTGAAGTCTAGGAAAATAAATTAACGATTTTATCAACTTCAAATTGATAAATATGTGTTTGTTTTAGTGTGTGTGTGTGTTTGTGTGTGGCGTGTGTGTTTGTGTGTGTGTTTGTATTTGTGTATATGTGTTTATGTATGCCTGAATTTTACTTAATTCATTTTTATTTTCTAAGCAGCTAAAAGATTTTTTCTTTGCAGCCAACCAACAGTTAGTGTAATTAGAAATAATAATGATCTTTGTTTATAGAAACATAGAATATTCCTCTTTCTCTCTTTTTCTCACTTTCTCTCTTTTTCTTCTTTCTCTCTCTATAAAAATAAATATTTACTAGTTTACCATTTCTAAGCGAAAAATTTTATTTAGTTATCTACGGTCTCTAAGCAATAAAATGTACTCTCTCTCTCTCTCTCTTTTTCTTGCTTTTTTTTTTTTTTTAATCTCACTTTCTCCTTTTATATGTGTATAGTTTACCTTATCCAAACAATGAAAACTTTATTTAATCATTCACAGTTTCTAGGCAATAAAAAATACTTTTTCTTTCTCTCTCTACCTATCGCTTTCTCTCTCTCTCACTCTCTCTTTTTTTTCGAAGAAAAATAATGATGATTAGGACAATGATTATTTATTTTCTTCTTCTTCTTCTTCTTCTTATTATTATTATTACTATTACTATTATTATTATTTTATTATTATTATTATTGTTAAAGAGAGTGGCGACACGTAATCTCTTCAGCTTGATTATCCAGAGACATTTGGAACTTTAATTTGATTCCATCCAAATTTTTTTCTACTTTCTTTCATTTGTTCATTCAGGCGTGCATTATCGAGAATATATTTTTATTCACTCTTTCACTTGTTCGTTCGTTCTTTCGTCTGCTCGCTCGCTCATTCATTCAATCATTCATTTATTCATTCATTCCTTCTCTCTATTTTTATTTTTCTCTCTTTCTCTTTCTCTCTCTATCATCAAATTAATATTAATTTTTACATAGATGCCGTGATACGCAACAAAGTGATTTCGTGGAAGTTTCCAGACTGAGCGATATAGATTGGCCAATATCATCATCATCGTCGTCATCTTCATTACCATCATCATCATCATCATCATCGTCGTCGTCATCGTCATCGTCGTCGCGGCCATCACCAACGACATCTTCATCATTATCATTGAGGAAAGAAAACAGATTAGTCTTGCGTCGGCAATATAATCATCAGCAACATCAACATCAACCACAACAACAACAACACGAAGAACATCATTATCCGGAATATCCACAACTGCAACGCCATCAACAACAATATCAGGATCGTTATCAGCAATATTCGCAACATCCGCAACATAATCATGACTCACAACAACAAAAACAACAGCATTATTATCAACAAAATCAACAACCACCAATTTCTTATCAACAATCGCACCAACAAAAACTTCAACATCATCAACAACAACACCAACAACATCAGTACGATGACAATAGCGAAGCGTACTTGAACAGCAATGACAATTATTATTACAGCAACACCATCAACAACAACAACAACAACGACAACATTGACAAAGGAAACGCTGATGATAACTACGACAATCGAAGCTACAACAATGACGTCAGCGGCGATAATGATGATGATGACGTTGATAAAAATGATGATGATGACGATGATGGTGATGAAATTTTCCGACTGAAACATTTCTACGGCTTAAGAATGAAGGGACAAGATAAGAACTACGCACTAGTAAGGAAGAAACGACATCGTCATCATCATGACCACCACCATCACCATCATCATCATCATCATCGTCATCATCGTCGTCGTTATCATCGGTGCAACGATTATCGTCATCGCCATCATCATCATCACGATTGTAAAAATGACCTCCCCGGTCGTCATCAGCTGCCGATGGGACATAACCAATATCATCGACATGTTTGTTTTATGAAAAAACAACAACAACAACATCAAAAAATTCAAAAACAACAAGAGAAACGATCTCTAAAGCTGCATGTAATAAGACAACCATCACAAAACCAGCAACAACATTACCAACAACAACAACATCATCAACAACAACAACATCAACAACAACATCAACAACAACAACAACAACAACAACTTCGACAAAACCATCTCGGCAACAATCATTATCATAATTTGGTTCAACAACGTCAGCCGCAAAAATCACAGCAAAGTATTGATTTTTCCAGCTATTCAATAACATTACACAGACGATTAAA